TTAAGAAAAGTCAGTTAAACCTTTTAAAGTTAACTAAACACCATTAAAGTGCTATAAACAATTTTCAACTGTTATTTTAAAAAGGGCTGAACAGCCCATAACCTGTAAGGGAAAGAGAAAGAAAGATAGGGAAAGTAGAGGACAGATCTGGATCACCACCCTGGGTTCCAGTAACATCCCTGGTCCAGTTCCTGATCTGTCAGCAGTGGTGGTGGTGGGTGCATACCAAGATACAGCTCATTGTTCCTTAAATACTGAGGCTCATTTGCATGCAAGGCAAGGTGCGGGGGCAGGACCTCTTGTGCTTATTTAAGTGTGAGGTGAGGAAAAGGGTGGGCTTTCCTGGGCTCATTTACATGTGAGATGAGGGAGGGAGCAGTGTCCAGGTGCCAGTCACAGCCCCTTTGAGGACTTACATGGCTCTTGCACACCTCTTTAGCTGATATAACTCTCCATCTTCTGCGCAGGCACTGCTGGGGCGAGGTCACGAAGCCCCTCCTCAAATAAACTCTGTGAGCCGCCATTCCCGGCCCTTCCGACTGTGTACCTGCCTGCACACCTGGCACCCTGCAATCCTCCCGCTCTGTGGCCACAGTGTTTGAGGCATTAACTCTTTCAGTCTCTCACACCCAGTTATTTTATTTTCCACATTATTGTATGACATGGATTTTCACAATTTAATCATGGCCTACTGCATTTTATGTGCTTTAAATGGCAGCACAGGTGACCAAAATAATGGCAAGTTTGTTTCTGATATGAAGATGTGGTAGTTTAGCTTGTTCTGCTTTGTCAAAGGCAGACTCAGTGGGATTATGATCATCCTGTACAAATACAGCTGGAAGGTAAGGATCACAGATTAAATATTTATATAAAAATATTTAAATTAAATTTTAATCATTTAAATTTGAATTTAGGCTAATAATTAAACCCCAAATTCTTAAATGTCTCACTCAGGCTTTTTCCAGGTTTTGATACTGCCTTTCTTCTCTTTTCAAGCTCTTTAAGGAATCAGAAATGCGTTTCAACTGTGGTAACATTTGTGATTTATACGTGCATTAGAATCAAATACTGTTTTGGAAGGAATACTTGTCAGTGAATAGCAACTGTTAAACTTTACCAAATGTTGGTGCCATCTTCCTTACTCCAAACTATGGCAAAATGTTTTCATTAAAATCAAGAAACGGAATTGATTTTTCCAGTTTTCATTTGTCAGTATTTGCACAGATGACAAGAAAGAAGGGAGAAGCCAAAAATAGTTACATATATGAGGAAGACTTAAATGTCTGGTAGGATGCCATCAGTGGATAGAAACAGCTGATGTCCAAAGGAGCAGATCCTACCTCAACACCTTGTTTGGCTTAGAATTGAGGCACTGTGGTGAGACTGCATGTGAGCTGGAGAGAAGTGCTGCAGTGCAGGGTGAGGCTATGATTCCTGACTTTGATTGGAGACAGCTGACAGTTAATTGCTGATCATGAGCTACAGGTGACACTGAGCAATAGGAAGCCCATAGTGGAAGGGAGATTCCTGCAAATGATACATAATTAAACTGGAACCTCTTCCCATGGGATGTTGAAGATTCTTGAGGGTCACACTGGTTAAAAATTAATTATACCAGTTAATGGAATAAAGTGCATGCAGGATTGTTAAATTTATGGCCACACTTCTGGGTTTCTAGGGTAGTATCGGTATACACTTGCTCTGCTCTTATCCTCTACCTAGAGCATCTGCTTTTAGTCACTGTCAGAGATGCCCATTGAACTGCTCAGAGGAATGCTACAACTGCCATGCTATTGAAAACATTGAAGACCTGCAGAACAAAACAGAACAAGCAAATGCTGGTGAACAAATAGTATCAACAATTGCTATTCCATTTATTCCCAGTTGTGATACCTTGTAAAAGTATTCAACTGGTATTCACCAAATCAAAAAAAAAAGAAATATGACCCTTAGAATGAGAGAAGAGTTCTGGGACTGTAGATTGTGGAACATAACTTTGGATTCTGATTGTAAGCTTATCTATTCTTTAAAACAAGAAGCTAAGTAGATATTCTACAATGAACTCCTACAATTTGCTTGAGAAAGCAGATTCGAAGCAGACGTGTTTCACTTTTGACTTTAAGGCTTTCACTGGTTCTAATTTTGCTACTTCTTTTTATATTTTGAAATTTCCTATCTGATCTGTAATCAGTCATCAGTGCTCTAATGTCTGGATAAAGGCTGTGCAGGACACTACCAAATAAGATAATCACAGATTTACAGAAAGAAACTAAATGAGTAGAAGGCTTTTAGAGATTCAAGTCTGAACATGACAGAAAATATCAACATATATTATTATTACAAATATATTAAGAGAAAATTTGAAAGAGTTCTTTCTGGGTCCAGCCAATGCAGTTAGCACTATGACTTTGTTAAGCACACTCTCAGAAGATGACTAACAAGTGAGTGCTGAAATAGAAAATTATTTGGAATATTTGTTTCATTAAAGCTTTCTATTTCAAATATATATGGTATGTATGTGTTATTTATGTATCTGTGTATTGAAAATGTCTGACATCAATGATGATCTTTATCAGGAAGATCTTTGTACTTAGTCCTAAGACATTACCTTTAATCCGAAAAGCAGAAGTGTACTAATATGTGTTGAAATAGTATCTCAACATCCATCACCTTATTTCTGGTTTGCATTCATTACATCACATCAGTCATTCTCTGCCGCGGGTAATGTCTGAAACACAAACAAGAAGCAAGATCTCCTGAGCAGCCAAGCAGTATGTAGGGCTGCACACAGAGGTGATGGAGTAATCCAGATAACAAAAATGCATCCCATGACTCTGACCAAGAGGCCATGTCTGGAGAATCCAGGCAGCCTGTAGTGGCTCTGGCTGGGGTGGAGCTAATTTGCAGATAATAAACAGGCAGCACTGATTTCTGATTTTGGTGACCCTAAAATGCTTCCCAAGCAAACTGTGGACAGCCAATGAGCTTGACTCATATACCCTTTCACCTTTTAAACTGCATCTCCATAGGAATAGAGATTGATAGCCAACTGAAATTCATATTTGAGACTTGATTTCATGTGTCGAGGCTCAGGAAAACACATGTGATGACATCAAGACTATCCATGTCTTATGGTACTGCTGTGTGCAGTCAGCTCTGTGTAACACTTGGGATCTAAGAAAGACACTTCACCTATTCTTGATACTCATGAGTCCAGTGATACTGGCATCATACACCCTTAACAGCAGAAGAGTTGTGAATTGTGGTGAAGAAATCACAGAATTGATAACTTTCTTTTTTCCCCATTTTTTATTTGTTTCAAGTCAGACATATGGTTTAATGAATTTTTGATTCAGAAATATCTTCCACCTATACCGTGAATATATCCTTTTTACATTTCCTTCCATGATCTGAATAATATTGCTCCCTATATAAAACAAGTAAATGCAAAATTCTTATTTTCCTAGTTTGAAAAATGCCCTCAGTCAGCAAGGCAAGTCTCTCTGACCCTTGGTTTTACATGGAGTTTTATTACCTACAGAAGACAAGAGTAAGTGTATGAGATTTCAGTGAGAGCACGGTGCTGGGAATGCAGATAATGTCACAGTCAAGCAAATCTAATACTTATCACTCTGGCCAGACAATCATTCAGACAATGAGATGTTCTGGTGTTCTCACCAGGTACACAAGAGCTTGATGGACATGCAATTCTGTTATTGTTTTCTTTCGACCGCATCCCAAGTACAGATGTACCAACCTGCCAGGAGGTGATGGACTGTTGTAGCCACTTCAAAGGAGAGCAGGAGCCAGACCCATCAAAGGGGTGCCTTAACACTCTGGTTCCCGACCATTAGTAATCTTTACCTCCCCAGGTTGGTATGACCCAGAAGAGGGTTGAAATCACATCAAGCACTGAGCAGCACAGCAAGTAAAGAGTGTGTGTGGGGGTAGAATTATACCACCACAGCTTGTGACTCTAGAGAGTGGGCGTGTGTGTGCTTTCAGTCACAACCATCAATTCTGACCAAAGAGGAGGAAGAGACATAGCTGCCTGCAGTTATGTTTTATGTCAGTCCTATATATGGGTGATGTGGAAAGCAGTGCTTTTCCTGTGGCAGTCTATGCAGCCAGTTGCGTCCATGCTGTGTGTGTCTGTGCTACGTCCTCAGCTTTGCTACTGGTTGAACCTGCAAATGCGAATGTAGCAGCTGTGTCCCTTGGCCATGGATAGAAACCCCTGGGCTCCAGCTGCCAGGAGGAGGAATCCTCAATCCCCAGAGTGACTGGAGGTGGTCACCACTTATTGCATTCCAAACGAAGAGTGGTGAAACAGTTGCTACAGACTGACAATGCCTACCTGTGGCTGTATGGTGAAGAGAGGAGAGAAACATTAGTTTGAGCCAAATGAGTGCTGAGTAGTGCTAGGCAGATCTGAATTCAATTAGATGCATAAGCCGAAGCCAAGTGTTCCCCAAGCTACCATCTGCTCTGCAAGAGACAGAGGGTTTTGCTTCATGCATTTTTCCCCCTTCTAGTTGCTTGCTGAAAGCATAAAACTGCAACCAAAAATCTGAGGTTCCAGTGCCTCCCAGATGTTTGGAACATTCATCTGTTCAATTTTCCAGATGTTTTAATATTTTTATTGTGCAAATAAAAACTATTTGTGTACCAGCAGTCAGTGGTCTGTATCTTCAAGCTGTTTTCTTCTCCCAGCCAAATCCAGCCCTGTAGACAATATTCAGCCCACATAAAAAGTAAGGTCCCATTCTAACAGCAAATTTGGGTGACCCTTTGTCCTGGTCCGGGCTGGACTAGAGTTCCTGTTTGTTTTAGTAGCTGGAGGAGTGCTGCAGCACACTGAGACCCCAGGGGCTCCCCAGGTCCTAGTGCCCTTACCTGTGTGTGGGGGAAGGGGGAGCACAGCTGGAGTGCTGGGCCGGGATTGGCTGATATTCCATGTCATGTGACATTATGTTCACTCTATACAGGAAGGAGTGAGCCGGGAGGGGCCCTCACTTCTGGGAGTGTGGCAGCTGTGCCGGCTTTGTGTTCGGGATTGCTGGCTGGGAGCAGGTGGGTGTCGGTCGGTCGGTCGGTGGGTGGTGAGCAGCTGTATTGTACATTACCTATTGATATTGCTGTCAGTGTGTTATTCTGTTACTATTATTAAACTGTTTTTGTCTCAACCCGCGAGTCTCCCTTTGCCCCTCCGATTCCTTCCCCATTCCCAAGTGGGGTGAGGGTGGGTGAGCGGCTGTGTGGCATTTAGCTGCTGAGTAGGCTCAAACCACAACACCCTTCTTGCCTCTGAGACTCTCCATCTGACTCAGTTGTTCCAGTCTTCTTCTATGGCTCAGAGCAGCTGGCAGTAAATGGCCAGCTGTAAGTCTCACTCATTGGCTTCATCCACTGCCAAGTCTTCATATCTGTTGCTGCTGGGTACATATGAGGAAATGAGGGGAAGTGACGTTCTGTTGCCATGAGTCACTAGAGACCATGGCACATCCATCTCCAAGGTGCAGTCTGTTTGCTGTTGATGCCCATTTTTCGGGTAGTCCTAGGAGGTCAGTGCCACAAGGCCCTACTGTTTCTTCTTCCAATGCCTCTGTGGTGGACTGACCTGGGCTGGATGACAGGTGCCCACCAAGCTGCTCTGTCACTCCCCTCTCCTTCAACAGGACAGGGGGAGAACATATGACAAAAAGCTCATGGCTCGAGATCAGGACAGGGAGATGACTCAGAAATTACTGTTGTGGGCAAAACAGACTCAATTTGGAAAAATTAATTTAATTTATTGCCAATCAAATCAGAATATGTTAATGAGAAATAAGAACAAGTCTAAAGACACCTTCCCCCCACCCCTCCCTTCTTCCAGGGCTCAACTTCACTCCTAACTTCTCTACCTCTTCTAACCTGAGTGGCATGGGCGGATGGGGAATGCAGGTTGCAGTCAGTTCACCACACGTCTCTGCTTCTCCTTCTTCTTCATACTCTTCCCTTGCTCCAGTGTGAGGTCCCTCCCACAGGAGACAATCCCCCATGAAATTCTCCAAAATTAATCCTTCCCACGGGCTACAGTTCTTCATGAACTGCTCCAGTGTGGGTCCCTTCCATGGGGTGCAGCCCTTCAGGAACAGACTGTCCCAGCGTGGGTCCTCCACGGGGTCACAGCTCCTGCCAGCAAACCTGCCTCAGCGTGTGCTGCTCTCTCCACGGGGCCACAGGTCCTGCCAGGAGCCTGCTCCAGCATGGGCTTCCCAAGGGGTCATAGCCTCCTTCAAGCATCCCCTTGCTCTGGTGCGGTCCTCCATGGGCTGCAGTTGCTCTACTGTGGAGCTCCATGGGCTGCAGGGCACAGCCTGCCTCACCATGGTCTTCATCACGGGCTGTGAGAGAATCTCTGCTCTGGTGCCTGGAGCACCTCCTGCCCCTCCTTCTTCACTGACCTTTGTGTCTGAGTTGCTACTCTCACTCCTCTCCCCTGGCTGCTGTTGCACAGCAGTTTTTACCCTTTCTTAAGTGTCTTACCACAGAGCTGTTACCACTGATGTCGATGAACTCAGTTTTGGGCAGCGGCAGGTATTCTTGGAGCTGGCTGGAACTGGCTCTGTCAGACATGGGGAAAGCTCCTGTCATCTTACAGAAGCGATCCCTTCAGCCCTCCAGCTACCAAAACCTTGTCATGTAATCCCAATACAGCCTTGAATCATACTTTGTGCTTCGTTCCCCTTCCCTAATATAGTGTAACCTGCTGACTTCCTTCTGCAGCTCCTCCACCCACTGCCTGAGTGACCCCTGCCAGATCTCACCCTGCAAAGGCAGAGCTTGTACCCTCCTCCACTCAGGTGTGTGGGGAACAGAATTCACAGCCCTCCACATGGACAGCAGCTTCCCTGATTGGAAACTCTGTCTGGGCAGTTGCCTCCACTCCTCTCAGTTTAGCTCAGCTAGATAGCTGGTTCGCAGCTGACCTCTACCACCCTGCTTCCAAGTGACCACAAAGCACTGTCTAATAAGCCCTTCCAATTCTCTGTAGACCTCAAGCTTCTGGCTAGGTTTGTACAGCCTACAGCTAGCTGGGGTGACCATCAGGGCTGCAGACTAAGCCTGCAGTGAACAGAGACTTTTTTTTTTTTTTCCCTACCTTTTTTCTCTTGACTGCTGTCACGCATGCTTCCATAAACTGTACAGGTGGGCAGTCATGAAAACATGCCAAAGCCACTCTTACCATCTGATTCAAATTACCACTGGCCTCTGAGCTCGTAGCAAAGCATTGCCTTTTGCACACGAAGGTGAGTGCAGCCCCTTCTTCTGCTCAAGACTAGCATGCCAGATGTAGTGCAAGGTGCTGCATGCTGCTGGGGAGACACATTACTGGCATTGCTCAAACGTATGAGGCTGCAAGAAGGGAAAGAAGAACAGAGGAAGATGTGGTTATGAGACACCCTGTTTGTTGTTGCAGTGTATACATGAGAGTCAATGTTTTTCTTGGTCCAGGTACATAGTTGCAGCCTCTGACTGGGTATCTGCGGTTTTGTTCACCTCACAGAAGGTTGTAGGATGAACTGCTGCCAATCAGTATGACACCTGAGACAGCATTACCCACCTACTTCTAGCCAGATGAATTGTATGGACTCACTTTTTGAGTCCTTACTGAGACTTTATTGTCTCAGCTCAGCCTCCAGAGTACTCTCTCATTGGGAATATTGAGTGTGTGGCACAACTGTTCAGTGCTTGTAACTCTGGAAGTGGTGCAAATGGCATGAAATGCTGCAAATGGCATGTGAAACCTGCAGGCAAGTGGGCAAGGAATGGAATCACGTAAGCAGAGGCACTGACTCCCTTTCGCTGGTGCTGCTGTACAGGTACGGTGTGCCCTACCTCTATGGCTGCACTCCTGGGCTCAGTGCTAGCACATCTGTCACAACTTTCTGTGTTCAGCACTAAGCTCAGAAAGACTTTACAAAGGTAAGCTCAGATGGGGTGGGATGCTGCTGTCCTCAATCTAAGAGTTGTCTCTGAGCAGAATGGTTTAAAATCTCTTGTTAAATGTCTTAAATGTATGACTTAGAAATGAACAGGAAGGGATTTTCTGTCTTCTGAGAAAATACACCTTTTTTTTTTTTTTTTTTTTGGCATTGCTTCATTTCTTTTTTTTCTGTTCCTGAACAGTTTTCCTCTCCCAGTTTATAATGAAACTCAGCTATCATAGAGATACTGGGGGAAAAAATGAGCCTCAGTGAACTGAATCTTCATTTTATTTGTAACCTTCATTTTTTCATGAGGTTATAAAAAGTGACAATATTCCCTCTTCTTCTCCCAATACTCTAAATACTTCTCTAAATACTTTAAAACTCATTAGAAATATTTGGCAGGCAAATCATCAAGTCTGGTACTTTACCTCAAACATCTTGTTTTTTCCATGAACAAATGCCTTTCGCAAAAAATAAAATAGAACTCAAACAAAAAAAAAAAAAAACCAAAAAACTAAAACCACAAGCTGTCATTACAGTATAGATGTTGAAGAACTTGGTATATGTTGAATGAATTTGATGTATTTTTCAGGGAAACTGGTGGCAAAATGCCTAAGACTTCTTTTATGCAGACTGTTTAATATCTCCTAGCAAAGCTACAGGAGGGTAACTTGATTGCAAACCATTGAAAGAACTGAAATTTGTGTTGTCATTCTCCTGTTGCACTCTATGTGCTATTATCTCCAACATTAATTACCTGTAATTCCTAAAACTCAGCCCAGTCACATTGTGGAAGGGGATGGGGAGGAAAAAGGAGCACAGCTGCCTTTGCTTCACAGAGTTGATGAGCAACAAGCAAGGAGTGCAGGACAGCAGAGGAGCACAGCTGGTGTAAGAGGCAATTAACTCCAGCTGATCTGCTGTTCAGCTGCAGCTTACTGTGTAGGCTTTACAGGAGGCTGTGCTTTGGAGCAGTATAACTCATGCTTTCAGGAATTGCTGGGATTTTAGTTAGCCTGCCTGTAATCCTGAATTAAAGGCAGTAGGGACAGATGGGGAAAGAGATGAGGTTCTTCCAAAAGAATATTTTGAAGAGAAAAAGTTATGATCTTTGATCCTGTGAGTGTAGGATAAAGAAAGGTCTCCTTTCTCCTGGGGCATTATTGACCTCAATCAAACCAGCTTAAGCTTTATTGGAAATGCAGTGAAAAATGCAATGTTATCATACTGGTGTAGGTTTTAGGAATACTAAAGCCATCAGAGGAAGGAGATGGTCCTGTCCAAATGAAATGGGTTATGAAATAGTAGATCTTGCAAACATTAGCATGTAACGTACCATTTTGAATTCTCTTGGTACCAAAAGACAACAAGGATACAGGTATTTTGCCACGTTTTAATTATTTTGGTGGAGGATATATGCATGACAGTTTAACTTTCGTATTTAACTGAGGGGGTTATAATAAATTTATATATAATAAATAATGGAACAAGCAGACACAAGAATGAACAGGACCTAAAGCAGTGGAGGTATCAAAGTATCCTGTAGAGAGAAACTGTCTCACAAATCTATTAAAGTTTTTGGGAAAAGCCAACACCTGAGAAAAAGGGGCTCTGCTTGGTGCTGAGTTTCAAAATCCTTCTGAAAGTCCAAACAGGAGGAAATTCACAAGAAACTAATGAAGGTTCTTGGAAACCATAGCCCAAGAACGGAAAAGAAATGAGTGATAAATGTGCCATTTTACTTATTTGCCAAGCTGTAATTTGCGTTTGGATTGTTGTGTGAATTCTAGTATTTAGGTGAAAGAACTTCACAGATTCATGTGAAAAAAAAGTAGTTGCTGAAACATTCATTAACGCCTGTTAAAATTAAGGCTGTGGTTTGCATAAAATGTACTTTCTCACAAACTTAAACCTTTTAAAACCCCATGTGACTCACAGAAGAAATTCTAATGTGATATTGGCTTCTGTGTCTGATTTCTGATCAGTCATAAAGTAGATTTAGTCAGAGGCTACTGACCATTTACAGGTATTCCTGCCACTTGCTGTGAGAATGGCCTTGCAGCAAACCTGGAATTTGGGGATAGTGTCATTTTACCAGAACTCCTGTACAGTTGCTCAGTTGGCTTGCTGTTGACTTACTATCTGTTTAAAATATATAGATACCTAAATACATAACTTGCTTTTCACTACTCCTTTCAAAGTCTGTGTTCAATTCAGTTTCTTTTAGTTGAGATGTGAAGGGCAAATGTACTTCTCAGTTCATGTAATTCTGTGTCTCTTTCAAGATTTTGTAAAAGTCAGCAGCAATAAATAATGAAACTATGGCATAGAAGTGTGCAGACTAATCCCTAGATGTTACTTCAAAGCCAAGCTATGTCACATTTTATTAGGTTGCTGTCAGAGTCTTCACATACTCCTAGGGTGCCTTTTTAATCTTAAAATCTTAATAAAGCACTCTGTAGACCTTTTTTCCTAGCTCATATTTAATGTAAAAAAAAATGCCACATGCACCAACCCTACTGCACACTAGTTCACCCTATCAGCAGTCAGGAATATGGAGAAGGATCAGAGAGGTGTAATGCAAAGACCTTTCATTTCAGTAGATCACTTAGTTCAGTAGTTGTTCAGGACCTCTCCCTCCTCTACCTGGAAAATTTCATCCCACCATTTTAAAACAGGCATTTTCATACAATCAGAATCAGATATTCTGGACCTTAGATCATTTTTCTGTATCCGCTTCTGTAAAAGTTTTCCATATAGTACCTACTTCTTACCAAAAATGTTCAGAATTGTAATTAGTCATATGCCAACTCTGCAAACTGTAACACAGAATCATCCTCATTAGATTATCGTAGTCAATTAATCCAAAATGTTCTTTCTTCTCACCATTCTGACCATCAATTTGTGTTTTCCTAATTTTTGAAAGCTGGATGTTCTACTTTAATTCATGTTTAATCTTCTTCTGATGGCTTTCCCAACCTTTCTTCCTTGTATACTTGAAATCTTAATAAATCTCTTGAACTTTTAAAGGAACTTGATGCTTTCTTGTCCAGGCTCTTTTCCAAACCTGATCCTGCAATGACCTCTGCTGTGGGTCTTAATTTGATGTAGCTGGATCGACTCTACCAACAAGCTGAAAAAACAAAACAAAAAAATTTCATTTATCTGCTTCATGTTGTTTACTTATAAATTTTCTAAAAGATACCTTTCTAATAAAACCTTCAGTCCTCAGCCTAGTTTCAATTAGCTACACTTTTACCTCTAGCATTTTCTTACCTTATATGCAGGTAGTCAACATACAAGATCAAGACTCATTTCAACATACAGTGTTTCTCCAGGTGCCCTATCCTAGCAGGACCACCCATGAGACTGCTGAAGATGTGTTCTGTCCCACCAACCAGATCATTAATGAAGAAGTTTAACAGCATTGGCCCCAGAATCCTGAGGATTACAATTTATAAATATCTGTCACCTGGACTTTGTTCTCCTATCTCCTGCTTTCTAAAACAAGGGGTCAGCAAATTTTCCACACACGCTGCAGTACACCCATCAAATCCATTTCTTGCCAATTTTGGCACTTCGATTTTATGAAAATATATGTCAAATGCCTTCCTAAATTAAAAGCTAATGAAGTCTGCTGATCAACCCTCATCCACAGAGCCAGTCATCTCAGCATAGAAGACAATCAAATTGGTCAGGCATGATTTCCCTTGGATAAGTCATAAATCCTTGTCATTTATAAAGTAAGAGTCTCTATTTTGGACCAGTTTTAAAGCTACAGGCCTTACTAGAATTAAAGCTGGATCTGTAGCATCAAAAAAAGACTGGAAACTGGAAATCAGTAGGAGTTATCTTATCAAGAAAACAAAAGTAATGAAAATCTGAGGTAATTAGATTTCCTATATCTTAATTTATTATACAGTGATAATTCGTCATGAGTTCTGAGCCTTGGTTAGAAATGAATAAGACTGTAGCCAAAAGAGGGGCACCCTAAACCTCGCAGGATGATCTGAAAAGGAAGGGATTACAGAATTCTAGGGAGGAAAAAAACAAAAAGCAGAACCAAGAAAAACCCAACTGCTATAATCTCTCTTGACCTAACTGGCAGAAAAATGTTATTCCTGAGAGACAGGTATTATGCATAGAGCAGCAGAAATGATCTCCAGAAGTCATTGAGCCCACAGTGGACCGGGTCTGCTGAGTATAAGCCCCTACCCAGCAAAGATCCAGAAAGCGTATGGTTGAACTGTATTTGTATAATTAATGATAATTAGTATATATAGTTTATTAAATCAATTATAAATACTTGTATTATTATAATGATAATTATATTATATAATATACACATTGTTTACATGTATATTATGTATAATCAATATATATTATGTATAATGATACTTTGTATAATAAAAATAAATTCCTTGTAATAACAAATGATCATGTCATGACTGTCAGTACAGAAGTCAGTCTGAATCACATATAAGTGGCCTCACCAAATCCTGTTTAAATCTTCTTCTGGCAGTAGATAGTGCTGTTAGTGCTAATTTTACTCCTACTGTCCTGGTTCGGGCTGGAATAGAGTTCATGTTGGTTTGGTAGCTGGAGGAGTGCTGAAGCACGCTGAAGTTCCAGAGGCTCTCCAGGTCTGAGAGCCCTTGCCTGTGTGTGGGGGCGGGGGGAGCACAGCTGGAGTAGCACAGCTGGAGTGCTGGGCCCGGACTGGCCGATATTCCATGTCATGTGACATTATGTTCACTCTATACAGGAAGGAGTGAGCCGGGAGGGGCTCTCACTTCTGGGAGTGTGGCAGCTGTGCCTTTGTGTTCGGGGTTGCCGTCTGGGAGCAGGCAGCTGGTGAGCAACTGTACTGTACTGAACGGTATGTCACCCATTTATACTATTACCATGTTATTCTGTTACTGAACTGTTTTTATCTCAACCCGCGAGTCTCCCTTTGCCCCTCCGGTTCCCTCCCCGTTCCCAAGTGGGGGGAGGGTGGGTGAGCGACTGCGGGGCATTTAGCTGCCGAGCAGGCTCAAACCATGACACCTACAAATGTAGAAATTTGCATAGCAATTTCAGGGTAACAGGCAGAGTATAAATATTTCTCTGAGAAACTGTTAGGTAACAACTCAACAGTGATTAATTAAAGGCCTGGTTACTTGTTCTGTTGAGTAATTCAGGCTAATAAAAATGCTTCCCCCTGGGTAATGTTATATTCAGAGTATCATTAAACACTAGTGCTAGCTTCAACTGTAATTTTCACAAAGATTTTCTTGTATTTTTTAGAAAGTATATACATTTAAACTAACAGAAAATGAAGTAGTTTTAACAGGATTATGGAGTGCACTGAATCTGGATTATCAGTTTTATTTACATAAAGCACCTTGCACTTCTTTTATTTATGCATTTACATTTAACAGAATGGAGTGAGAAATAAAACTAAGATTCCTTGATTTATTCTAACTAGACTCCACTTCAGTGACATTCCCAGTGAATAATTAATTTTGCATGAGCTTTTGCTTTTTCTCTGACAAGTGCTGTTAAAACAAGTTGTGACTGTCTCAGAAACGTATTGTTTATGTTAGAATATTTTGTGTCAGATTAATTGCAGTTAGGCAGCTATTCATAAATTTAGTGCAGAACAGATTGCCAACTGGGTGGGGAGAATGTTTTATTGACATATTTCCGCAGTATGTCTTGGTAAATACTGCAAATGTGAAAACTTGCAATACTGCAATAGTTTCTTACATTTACCTACAAGCGAGTCAGAATAGGTTTGCATTACCTCTAGTGGAACAAGATCAAATACAGAGATTAAATTCTGTACTTCACAGAAGGGATAGCATGCAGACACATGGGTCTACATCAACAACCAAGGGAGGGAAAGTGCAAAATGCTCAGAGGCTGTCAGCTTATCTCACACAAATCTGTATAACTTATTTGCTGTGATTTTAATACCGAACATAATTAAGCACTGGAACCAACTTTGGAGAGAAGTGCTGGATTCTTCATTTTCTGATGTCTTTGAATTAGAAAATAATTATGTTTAACCAAGAATATCTTCCAGAAATACAAACACAGGAACAACAAAGTTAAATTTGAAGAGCCTACATAATGCTAAAGTCTAAACAAGATATACTGTGATGGCTGCTTCAGAATTTGCACTCAATTGATTACTTTCTCAAGCGTTATGGTAGTGCTGTTCATGGCTGAATGAATTTTTTGCTTAAAGTAACCATTCAGGAACTTTTTTATATGAAAAATGCAGTATGTTAATCATGCTATTTATTCTCTGGATGCTGTAAATGTGCAAAAACTACCAAGCAAATTTATTACAGTGAATTAAGATTGTAACTTGAAGAAATGTGGTGGTATCAGAAATGCAGCAGGTTTGTAAGGGCCGTAATGCAAGTTAGAGCACAAATACAGGCCAGAATGTGGCCTCTAAGCACACTGCCTTATTCTGACACCTTTGGGCTTTGGTCTCAGTAAGTGCAAAGGAAAGAAGGGGGCGTCATCAGTAAAAGCAGCTGCAATTTCCATCCCCTGAAGAACACAAAAATGTGACTTTGGGAAGGAGTTAACAATTACTAACAAAGAGGTGCTGCTCTGACTATCCCAGGCAGGATGTCTCGTGAGCATGGTCACTGCTGGGAGCTGCTGCTGGGTAGCACAAAGGCGTTTGTTTGCTGCACTGGGGACTCCCATCTTTCCATACACCATGAATTAATTCTCCACTTCAGCCTTAACTGAACTTTGATTTGGGTACACTTAGCTATTTACAATGTTCCATAGTTCTGATATCAGAATCTTCTAAGAACACAGACCCACTTAACTGTGGACTATTGGTAAAGATTTTTAGGAAAAAAAGATACAAAGGAGTGTTTCAAGGAATTAGAAATTAAATCCCACCTGTAGTACTGTGTCCAGCTCTGAGGTCCCAACACAAGAAAGACAGTCCTATTGAAGCAAGTCCAGAGGAAGCCACAGAAATCATCAGAGGGCTTGAATGCTTCTATGACAAAAGGCTGAGAGAGTTGGGATTGTTCAGCCTGGAGAAGAGAAGGTTCTGGGGAGACCTTATTGCTGTCTTTCAATGTATAAAGGGGACTTACAAGAACAACAGGGCCTGCTAGGTCCTGTAGTGACAGGACAAGGGGCAACGGTTTTAAACTGAAAGAGGGTAGGTTTAGATTAAATATCAGGAAGAAATTCTTTGATGGGAGTGGTGAGACACTGGAACAGTTTACCCAGGGACGCTGTGGCTGCCCCCTCCCCGGAAGGGTTCAAGGCCAGGTTGGATGCAGCTTTGAGCAAACAGGTCTAGTGGAAGATGTCCCTGCCCATGGCAGGGTGGTTGGAACTACTAGATGATCTTTAAGGTCCCTTCCAACCAAAGCATTCTGTGATGCTATAAAACAAAAAGAAATTGTCTTGAAAACAAAAGTGAGATGTAAATATAAGGCACACAATTATTTCACTTTTTCTACACCTGCCTTCAAATGACAGAGTTCTATGCTTAGAAGTTTGGTAAAATAAGCTCATCACATTTTCACTGTAGCATTTGTTTGGTGTGGAGTGACTTCAGAGAGAATAGCAAAGCCAGGGATTTTTTTTTTTTTTTCCTGTGGGATAGTTTTACAGTAGGGCTCTCCAAGCAGGGAAGCCTCTGCTTAAAGGAAGGTCCCACAAGAAGAAGGGCAACTCTTGCTGGTAGCTTTGTGCACAACAACTCTTATCAGTGAAGAAGCCAACCTTGGAACCGGCCAGCTGGGATAGATGGGGGAGAGCTTGAGGGGCCATCACACTGGCAGCTAGAGCAGGTTTTGCTTGGTTGCTCCAAGGATCAAGGAATGAATGGGAAGCAGTCTCTGATTTAATCTGGAGATATAGTTCATTTTCAGGAGATTGGGTGCTTGGGTTTTTTCCCTAAACTTTTTCCTAATGTGAATCAGGAGGGAGGGAAATTGGGAAGCTACTTTTTGCTGTGATGCCTGTGTGACAGCAAATGTGTATGCAGAGTGACAGAGTTGCTACTGAGGACGCTGTTCTGCTGTTCCTGTACTTTAGAAGAGATAAGAGATCAGATTGATCATTTCAGTAGCTTTTCAGAAAATTTCACCAGATGACTTTTGAAAATGACTGGAAAACCTACAAAGCATTTTTCATTAAGCTTTAATACAAATGTTGAACTGTCACAAGTCATCTGTCATATGCCCAGGGAGACATCCGTGTCACTGGAGAGGTTAATCTCTTAGAAAATCGTTAATTCTCATTATTTTTGTGAGCTTCTTAGACTTTAATTTGGAACTCCTCCACCACAGCATAAAGCTTTAAACAAACTTTGCAAAGGCCTCTGGATGCCAGGATGCAAGGATGGTCCTGTGTGGAAGAGAGACAATTTTAGTGGTATCATGGAACACTGAAGTACCATGAGTGCATAAAGAGGTTGGTTAGGGATCAAATACTTAGAGATTTTTCTGACACAAACCCAAGATCTTAAAATGGACCTGGTAGGAGCTAGGCACTGGAATAAACAGCTAATGAGAAGAGTTAGTTATTCTAGCTCTGGTGTACTTGAGCTAAATCTGCATGCCTGGATATTCTGTAATCTGGCAGATCACGTAAATTCTCCCTGTATGTTGAGGAAGCTGTATGCTGCTGTCCCTCACCGTCACCTGACCGGTTTTGCTGTGCTCCTGCAGTATGGATGGCCTGTACCCATGCTTCAAGCCACGTAGTCTCTGCAAGTGTTCCGCTGCAATGCCCGTACAGACAATGATTATGATGCCTTGACCAGCGTGAGTGCCTCCTCTCAAGTTTTGGCTTCCTGGGCTAGGAACCAGGGGGAGAAATGGGAGTGCTGGCAGCCAGTTTCTTGCTGTGCAATTTGTACACAGCTCCACATACCTGGAATGTTTTTGTGCCATCTGCATTCTGGAAGCTGCAAGATCTCTTATGTCAGCAGGCCAGAACTGGACCAGAGGACAGTTTATCTCCATCCTGACCCTTTAATCTTGTAGTTTTACTAAAGATAGATTGCTGGAGATCTGATTTGGGGCTGTTAGTGATGCCAACTGTGATCTTCCTAAATGAAGATCACTGCTTGCTTTCCCTTTTATACATACATTCCCACTCCTTCAGTTGCAGAAGCTTCCTGTTTCAATCAAATCTTTTTTTAAAAAAAAAAAAAAAAAATCTTAATATTCTTATTCTCTTTGATAAGGAAACAGCTGTTGTCTTTTACTGTCTGAGACCTGAATATTTTGGTTTGCTTCCACACATATTTAGATTGTTCTATACAGCTATGCAATTCTTTTTCAGTGTCCTTTACAGATGGAATGTGACTGTTTAAATTGTATCCTGTGTGTATACTTGTTCATCATTCTTTATTCAATTTTAACAATCTGAAGGGCTGCTGGAAATTATTTTACTTCTCATTTGTCCTAATTGCTGAGCTCAGTAATTTTGATGGGAACTCCTAGACACTCTCTTGTGTGCTACACCCTAATGAGAATGTGAGACAGTGATGAATGGAGGTGTGCCCTTTTACAACACTTTCATTATGTTCCTTCTTTTCCTGGCCATTGTTGAATTTTTGGAAATGCTCAGAAGACCAACAACGCCAAGTTTCAATGGATTTTAATACCGTTTGAGGCATAGGTCTACAGAATAAGAAATCAAGTACCTGCCTGGGTGTATTTCAAGCATGAAATTTCTCATAACTGTCTCAAAAAACCTCAATCCTTCTCTTATTTGCAGATATGGAGTAGCTACTTTGTAATTGTATCTTGATGGTCTTTTCATTATCTAGGCCTGTAGAAAACTATAACGATGGTTCTTATTCCTCCTACCCTTCCTTTAATTATTTCCATA